TTTTATATATTAAAATTCCCTGAAGTGCATGCATTTACTTAAATCCTAGTAAAAGCCGAGTATATTATACATTTATATACTTGTACTATGTATATCTCTACATTTTTCATTTGTAAATATTATATCCACGTAATTACTGACCCTGATCGTAGAAATCTTTCTTATCAAACGGATCGACTCGCCTCTCGCCTCGTATTCGGCCACGATGTAATTTAACAATTTCATCGCGGATGAAATGATAATGACGATGATGATATGTGAAGTCGCGAGGCGGGTCGGACCGGACTTTTGAACGCAGTATTACGCAGATTTTTTTTAATTAAAAGGCTAGAGTAACGAGTTGCATAAGTGCCGGTCATTTTCATTTCTCAAAAAGTTTTCAAGTCGGCCACGTCACGCGTTCCACGTGAAAAGTAATAAAGACTCGCAAACTGAAACTCGTCACGTTTGGCAGAGAGCGTCGTCGCGCTCGAGTCGGCCTCTTCTCTTTCGAGGAACGATCGACCACGCCGTGGCCGGTTTGCATTCTCAGCCACTCTCTCTCTCATCATAGCCTTTAGAATAATTAGTCTTAGGTATTTATAGGCTGCTAACTATATATATATATAATACGTATATAATTCTCGGGCCGCCGTACGTGAACGCATTTATGCGATTCACGTTCGGCGATCCGCAAAATTAATACGCCCGCCGCTCGCTGCCAGCCGGATTCGCGCGATAACAAAGCGGACGATGTTGATCGGGCCGTTGATTCTCATGCCTCGCACTAACACAATTCGCGACCGATGCACAAGTCATATGTTTTCGATCGCCTGACACGGAGCAATCAGACGGAACGGAATGCGATTTGTTACGAACATCAGGAGATATCATTGATAATGGGTGAAAAACTGGTTTCCTGTGAATTTCAGTATTTTTCAGTTTTTTTTTATGTCGACGGTAACGTAACCGTTGCGCACTACCTAATCCTGTCGTGATTGAAAAAGGAATACTAGCGAATAAATTCGGGCGGTTTAATTATAAAAGCGCCGGATGAAATAACAGCGTTTCGATTTTGAGGTTGAACCAGATTCTCCCCTCCCCTCTCCCCCCCCTCTTCCTTCCTCCCTCCCTTCCACCCTCATGTATGTTACACGCTCCGATTATTTTCGATCGGTTCGTGGATTATTCGTTCGATCAGGCGTAAATTAGATATTCGTCACTAACTATCGACGATTATCTGACTGGATCGAATTAACAATCAAATGTAATTACGACCGTGATCCATATCCAGAATGAAATTTCTAGACAAATAGTACGGTTAACAACGAAGCAATTTTCTATAAATGAAATTTTAGATTAGGTCGCATAATTGAGAACTACATTTGATCTGGTGTGATAATTTCTTCCAAACTTATTATGTTAATTAGGTACGAGCAAGGTGCTTATAATTTTCTATACATTATGAATTTTTTTTTAAATAACAATGAGAAATGGAGAGATATATTATGGATATTTATTAAAATCACGGAATAGTTTCTTTCAAAACATGCAAATAAATAAAGAGAATTATTTAAAATTATTTAAATTATACAGTTCTAGTAGGATAGAAATTATGAAAATGGCGATGCATTTGAAAATATAAATTAAATCTTGAAAATTACAAGTAGATTACCAATTTATAATAATAGAATAAATGTATATATTTATATGTATATATTTAAATGTATATATTTAAATAAAGATAAAAGTCATACATTTTAATATAAAATAAATCAATTTTAAATAGATTATTAACTCATACTAACAAAATAAATAATGTATCAATAAATCAAATGGTCAATCGATTCGTTTAACTCTGATGTAAAAAGCGAAAGCAACAAACGGTGGAGAGAGATAATATGTAGACTGAGTTGAAAGTGCGGCGGAAAAAGTAGAAAGACAGTAAGTGGAAAGGGGAAGAAGTGGTTCGGCCGGACAGGCCGAATCCACCTCCGACCGCAACTAACAACTAGCTAAGTTAGCCAACCCGGGGTCGGTGCGAGAGAAATTTCTCGCCGGAGAACTGCCGGCGAGCAAAGTGTGCGGGATCGCTTCAATTAATTAAAGTCTCGTCTCGGGGAAACTTTGCCTTTGTGGGTATCACGGGAGCGTACAATGACTCGAGACTACCGGACGACTTTCCGGTGACCAACGCGCAAACTGGAAATTAATTTTTCAAGAATGTTTTTGGGATATTCGCTCGCGCCGATGAGACCTTCCTTTTCGCTCGTAATAATTCGGACGAGAAAATGGGGACTTTGGAATTTCCGATGCACGCGAAATGCGCTGATAGAAAGGCGGCAAAGTGTAAGTAGTGGCTAGTTAACGGGAAGTGACACTAGAGATCGATGGGAATACTGATGACTCGACGAGTTAAGCTTGGGTCTCTCCAGTGATCATTTTCAATTTGCTGCTCGTCCCTCCGCGAGTACCGAGATCAATTCGTAATGGACGCTTATTGTTTCATCGGTGCGACGTGGTATACGTCATTTCCGATACGGTCGCATTTATTCGTAATCATTTGTGCTATACATTTCATATGAATGCGATAACGTGTTATTTCAAAGAAGATATATTTAATGCGCGTTTTAGAATGTGTTGTATTCTCAGAAGACGAGGAGAATGTGCCTTCATATTCGTATAAAATAATATCGATTGCATTGTATATAAAATAAAGACAGTTTGCAAGTTAATAATAACATACATATAAATAATATAATTTAAATATCAAAGCAACATTCTCAACCGGTATATGATATAATCAAAATTTTGTTAGACGCTTTCTACCGCGCAAAGTATGCACATGCAAAATGTTGACCATGGGATTTTCATCATGTTCATAGACCGCAAATATTTTCTCAACCTTATTCGAAGTGCCCAAGGCACATAAATCGTTGCCCGAAATTACACCGTATCGATTCTCCGATAAATACGTCGTGGGCCATTAAATCATTTAACTTATGTGCTCCCATTATCGACTGGAAAAATTTATAGGTGCGTCGGTAAAAGGGACAGTTTATCGAGGCAACGGCACAAAATCTATCTGACGTCCCGTGGTCCCCGATAGCATTCTCTGCATATTCCGCAAAACAATCGCGCTTCGTACAATCGACAAAATAATCCACCGACTCGACGCTTGATTTACGCGTTTCACCACGCGTTTCGCGCATCGACTTCACGCGTGCCCGTTTGAAGCTCACGTTCGCTGTCGCGTCTATCGAATCGAAACTGCCGTCACGTTATCCATTGTTAAGCGCGAAATACATACAAATCCGACCCCGCCGTTCTTAATCCTCCTGGACGACCCGGTTTCTGAACGCAACCGGGCGACGTTGCGTTTTTCCTTTTTCCGTGAAAACCGCGTTGTATGAAAACATCGCCAACTGTTTACTTGTTTTTAGATCATTAAAAATTACATGGGATCTTAATTATAAAACAAAATGTTTTTCTCTTCTCACAATGTAAAAGACTTTGAAGTCTTATCAGAAGAGAATATCTTTAATAGACTCTTCCACGTTGTCCCGGATAAGCGTTAATTTTATTTTCAAAATCCTAACGTCGCTCTCACCACTTCATTGGGATGAAGGAAGAAGGATTTTTGCCATCATAACCGTGAACAAGGGACGGGTTATCTCACTTTGAGATACGCACACTTACACGCGAAACGAGTCCTGTGGGCGTTAGAATTTTGAAGATGTCGGTGCCGACCCTGTTAGAGAAGTTGGCGTGTAAACAAGATAACGATGAGATAACGATGAGTCCACTGTGCGCCTCCATTTTGTAACCGGCTCCGGGGAATGGTTACGGTCCCTCCAAGGGAAAAGGCGC